GTAACTGGAGGGACGAGATCGAGTATATTGTGATCGAGCTGGCGTATTTTGGTGATCCTTGATGGAGCAGGTTTCCGCCAGCAAAAATAATTACGAGGCAACGAGCTGATGCCAAAATAAAAATCGTCCATTCTATCGCTGTAAAAGAGACGCAAATCTCGTATGTGCGATCTTTGGATCTCTATTTGCTGACTTTCCGTGGAATATAAATTCATCAACGATTATCGAAATACTTTTGCATTCTCGAAAGCTGTGAATACTCGACTCTTGGGGGCCGAACTGTTTCAGAGAAACGAGCGCGTTTCGTTTTCACTTTCGAGTAGGGGACATTCGAAATCTACGAAACAAAACTCGCATACGTCCTTTCGAAATTTAAATATTAATATATATAATTTAATATGATGTAACACAATACAATATAATATATATAATTTAATATAATATAATATAATATAATATGTATAATGTAATATAATATAATATAATATAATATAATATAATATAATATGTATAATTTAATATGATATAATATAATATAATATAATATAATATGTATAATTTAATATAATATAATATAATACGTACAATTTAATATAATATAATATGTATAATTTAATATAGTGTAATATAATATAATACGTATAATTTAATATAATATAATATGTATAATTTAATATAGTATAATATAATATAATATATATAATATATAATACATTAAATATTTAATATAATATATAATATATTAAATATTTAATATAATATAATATATATAATTTAATATGATTTAATATAATACAATAAAATATATATATATAATTTAATATGATTTAATATAATACAATAAAATATATATATATAATTTAATATAATGTAATATTCTTTCTTCTTTCGAAATGTTTAATTTAGAATTCGAAACTAGTTTGCACAAGATGAAAATATTGCTCTTGCACACTTGTGTACCATTTCATACAGTGTGTTTGCTCGTTGAAACATTTTTAGTTCCGAGTATTATTTACTATTCGAAATATGAATGTCGATTCGCTGTCAGACTTGCAAGTATACATGTTTCAATCGTAAAATTGGGACCTTGTTTTCAAATTGATTTTCAAGATATCCAAAGCGTATTCTGACGTGCGACGAATTTTATTTCTAGACACTTTTCGGTTGATTCACGTTATTGAACGTTGTTCCACAGCTTCGCGAATTTTGAAAAGAAACTGGAACATTTACATTTATCGTATTACAATGCGATTCGTGCGTTGAAACGTGTATTTTACTTACATATTTATTACACATTTACAAAACATATTTTGTAAAAAGTGTATCTCATTAACGTAAAAGTATAATATGATTCGATCGAATATTACGTTATATCAATTTTTCTCTTCGTAACATATGTTTGAGCAACTTTACGAGGCTCAAAGGGAAGATAAACGATTTTTCTTCAAATTAAATTATCATTAAATAATCATTCGTACCGATCTAACAATGGCAATCACGCCTCGCTATAATGCATTGACTCTTCGTTTTAACTCGTGAACTTTGTGTACAAGATCAAGAAACATGTTGCCAACGGTACGAATAGAATCGAGCTCCATGGCAGTAAAATTACAAAACCTTTCCAACACCGTGCACACATTTATGAAACATAAATCTTTCCCCGATTTCACGTCAAATATTCGAACACGTCGGAATCGGATCGTCTCGGCCGCCGATTTCTTGCGCGGTACAGCATTCCTGTTTTAACGGTATCGTAAAGCAAATAAAAGGTTAACGAAGAGTATTTCTTAATACACCGCGGCGGCTAGCATTAATCGACTTTGTGCGTCGTTCGTATATCTGAAATGTATCCGATTTGCGTACACGCTTTATGCAAATCGAATGAAACTCAGTCTGTTAGCATTGCAAATATAAAACGCGGCAACGATGCAGCTCTCGATGCGTTAGTCTTGAGCAAATTTGCCGCGCCGCTGGAACCGAACAGAATGAAATCTCGGTGAATTGGACACACACACACACACACATTTATATATATATATATATATATATATATATATATATATAAATATATATATTTCTATATGTACCATAACGAGCCGTTAAGTTGCAAATGAACGCGTGCTTACGAGTCGCGATATGTATTACGAAATCATGGATGCAGTAACCAGACGATGTTGTCGCGGGGCAAAAATATATACATACTATCTTGTATCTATAGTCCGTGGCCGTTTCTTTCGACGACCGCCAAGTGTGTTGTACGCAAAACGGTTACGTACATACGCACACGTGTAGTAAGTAAAGAAGACGCGTTTTAATACCGACCGATCAAGCTGAAAACGAAACTCCCGCCAGAGAAACGAAAGTGCGAGGGATTTGGGAAAAGTACAGTAGGAACGCAAGTATCGTGATACTGTGTTGGTAAAATTTCTAATGATTCTGAAAATGTGTGTGGAAGATAATACTACGTAAAAAAAAAAAACATGTATGTATTATTATAACATAGTTACAGTTTATTAGACCGATGTCAATATCAATGTTTTAACCTCTTGGACGTGCCACGCGTGTCGAGAATATTTTGCTTCGAAATTGTAATAAATTTCTCAGTTTTGAGTATGTCTGAGCAAAATAGGCAAAACGAATGATAAATTTGTTATTACTTCTTAATCTTTTTTTTTTTTATTCTATATTAGCGACATCATACCGACGAGTTTAAAAAGAAAGTTATAAATACGGCTCGGTCGCTCGTTACGGTTCGCAATCGGTTGTCACCGCAAATGGTTAACCCACGTGGTGTTCAAAATGAATATAATTAACGTTTATTAACATACGTGATTTAAAATAAATATAATAAATAAATTTATTTATAAATAAATAAATATAAAATAATTATATTAATAATAAATAATAAATAATATAGAATGCGCTAGAATGACGTGCCACGCACGTCGAGAGTGAATTTTTGGTTCCAAAATCGCAATGTTTTACTCAGTTTCAAGTATATTTAAGTATAACCCAGGCAAAAAAAGAAAAATAATGATAAATTTGTTAAATAATAAATAAAAAATAATAAATTTACTTCTCAATAATTTCTATCACACCGAGTTCAAAAGGAAAGCGACGAATTATTGCGTATCACGGTATTTGGTCGCTCGTTACGGTCCGCAATCAGCTGCCAGCGCAACTGGTCAACACTTGTTACGTGTTGCGGCAACAATATACTAATTTTCCATTACAAAGGAACAGCGATTGACTGTCAATGAGAATGTACAGTCAATGCGAGTCAGATCGAAATATTACAATCTCAGCTCAACACAGCATTAGTTGTCAATTCTATCGTAAGTGGAAGAACTTCTCTCGCGTCGAACAGATCCGTGGTCCAAACGCTCCTGAAATTTACTCCTTTTCAAAATTTCCATACGCGAACAATGCAACGATCGTGTCGTTAATTCCCCGAACAACGTTCGATAATCCGGGACGCGTTCCCGGCAGGCCTAAACAACAGCGAGGCGAGCTTCGATTTTTACGCTTATCCGGTTACCGCTGCGTTTTTT